CGGTTTTGGTCACATGCCCAAAGCCCCTGCTGTTACATACGTATACAGCTTGGTGGCACTCACAGTAAATAACAGGAAAAATCCAGAACCTTGTTTCTGTTCTTTTGTATTTGTGTTGTTTGATGAAAAACAAAAATACAAAAATCTGAACAGCTGTTTGAAAACATGTTTGACTTCCTTTCTTCTCCATGAAAAGTGGGTGCCAGAAACAGAAAGTTGTGCACAGCTGCCCTTGTGTACCGCTCGCTGTATTTCTGCTTTTCCAAAAGCAAGTTATAGAACCTACTGTCAAAAAGTTTGCCATTTTTTCAGCCTGTCTTCATTTTGATAAATGTCTCTTATTGTGTCAAAGGGAAAATCATATAGACTTAGGCCCCGTCCACACGGAGACGCGTTTAGCTGTATACGCATACATTTTGTATCCTATAGGCGTTTCGTCCACACGGATCCGGCGCTTTGGGAGAGTGAAACCGATATTTTTTGAAACCGGGTCCCAGAGTGGATAAATCTGAAAACGGCGCCCTTGCGTTTTCTTGTGGACAGCGAATCCATATATTTTCTGAAATGATGACGCCATCAGCCCACGTCTCGCCCCTAGTCAGATACCGCTACGTCACGTAACAGCAACAAAAACATGAACAAACACTGAACGATTGTCTTTTTATTAAGTAACATTAACACAGATTAATAAATGTATTTTTCCATGTTCGTTTGTATACCGCGCGCAAGGTTTATGCGCATAGTCCAAGTCATCTTCTCCGTTTTTAGTGTATCTCTGTGGCAGATTTACAACGCCACATACTGGTCTGGCATGTATACTACATCGGTTTGTGTCGGTTTTGTGGTTTCGTGTGGACGCAGATATTTCTTGAGACGAGGGGAAAAAAAAGATCGGATAGGGAAAGCTCTGGCTTTGTGTGGATATAGCGTTAATGTGATGTGAGGGATGAATCTGAAGAATACATTTTTATTTAGGACAAAACTACCACTTACATTTACAGTACATTTAGAGTAAAATAAAATGCACATGGTAAAATGTAAATTTAGTTGAGTATTGTACCTTAACAGACGAGCTGGTGAAGCCAGAGGACATTGAGAAACTGGCCAATGCTGTGTTGTCCATTCAGCTGCCCAAATCCCCTGATGAGATCAAGGACATGATAGAGGACATCAAGAGGATCCTGGCAAACGTCACAGACTTCGACGATGATCTAGAGCACTTGGAAAAACAAGCCAGAATTGCTGAAGACATGAAGGAGAGGGCCCAAGAAATCTTGTGAGGCTGCAGTAATGAAGTCAATGTGTCAAAGCTGTAGTTTTTACCATGTCATTGTGCTTTATAAAGCTAAACCTGTGGACATCAGCATCACTAATCCTGTTTGGTTGTTGCATAACCAGGAACAGAACCAAGGCTATCAATGTGAGGGAGATAGACAAAGCACTCAATGATACAGCAAAGCTCAATGACAAGATATTCTTTGATCTGGATAAGGCTGAAGAAAACAATGACGTTATCAGGGGGAAAGTTAATGAGGTAATGGTTTATTTTACTAAACAATACATGCACGTTTAAAGGAATTTTTTACTCACCTTCATGTCATTCCAGACGTGTATGGTGTAACTTTCTTTACTTTTTGATTTGTTGTTTTGCTCTCAATGCATTATCACTTATTTTGAGAGATAATTTCTACTTTTTTGCCCTAATAAACTGCTTTATAACAATATTTTCTCATCACTTTTAAACAGACTGAACCTAAACTAAAACATATTGAGGATAATTTGGATTCGACTCGTGCCAAAAAGTTACAGGATGAAATCAAGGCCTTGAAGGATAAGACGGAGATGAACAGAGCTCAGGGGAAGGAGGCCAAAGATGCTGCCAATGCAGTGCTGGACAGTGCCAAAAACATCGAAAAGGTAAGTCTCACAAGCACAAATACATATATTTATTTAAATAAGCTATATGTTGGATGTACAAACATGGTTGCTGTTTAAAAGTGTACTAATAGTAACTTAAAAGATGGTGCAGCTGCCTTTAGATATAGCATATTTAACCTGTTATAAGTGGATTGCTTTTCTCCATTGGTAGGATCTTGAGGAACTGAAAGAGCAGTTTGAAAAGTTAAAACTGAATAGCACAACCCAGAATGTTAATGAAGAGGCTAACGAACGTCTGAAGAACATCACAATAGAGGCAGAAACACTGGCTAAAAATGTGGAAGATAAAATGAAGGAAATTGAAGGTACAGTATCATAAGAAGCAGTATGCATTGGGATATAATGGGTTACGGATTTCTGTAGGTGTTAATTTCTTGTTAGCAATATAATTTTTTTCCTATATCATTGTTGTTTCAGAATTGGAGAAAAGGATTCTGGTTGCAGCTGAAAGAAAAGAGGAAAGGATAAAAGATTTGGAGGCACTCCAGAAGGAGGCAGATGACTTGAGGAACTTTATTGTTGACAAAGTGGATAAATACAATCTGTGCTCCACTTAAGCCTGCTAGGGCTGCTCTTCCTCAAATTTAGAGGAAGCATTTTCAGTGTTTGCCATGGGAAAATTCTGAAGGCAACGCAGGGCAAAACGGTCTTGGACTAGGTTAAGTGCAGTCCTTTTATCCTGGTTCTTTTTTAGCTAGCTGATTTTGTTTACAATCTAGAGCTATGTACTGGTTCTGATCAAGCCCCAGAAATACTTAATGACCATATTCTGGTTCTGTTCAGTGTTTTTATTTGTTTTGTATTTATAGTATATTTTTAGCAAATGATGGGCCAAGTTTGAGGATCTTATATAGGTAATGTAAAACCCTGGCTGTCCACAAGAGGTCGCAAGAGTAAAATTTTAAATGTCGCCTATCACACAAACTATGCAGCATTGTTTCCTGCACTGCTTGAATCTAGAGTGCCACAGCAAAACCAATCATATTTTACTCAAGTTATTTGCTTGATGAATTGAAAAAAATGAGATAAAAAGAATGTGTGCTGCAAACCAATGACAACAAAATTTATTTTTATTGAGTTGTTCTCACTGATTCACAGTGATTCTTATAAGCCACATTTTCAAATGAATCATTCAAAAAGACTTTGATGAGTTTCGTTTGAATCAGACTGACGAAAATCAGAGATGCAACTTCAATTACTGTTTATTCAATTCTGTTTAGCTCATTCCAAATTGGCTTATGTCTGAGCTATTTAGGCATATTCCTCTAAGTCTCCTCCAAAAGTATTTTCATTGTTTTTGGTTCATGGATAAGTAATTCAAACCGCTTGATTAAAAACCTACTTCAGCATTACTTCCAGAATTGAGCTCAACAGCTGCTCCATGTGCATTAAGATAAGACAGTCAGGTTTAGACGCCTGCTGCTTGTGGAATGTGCTCGTTTGTCTCTCGCAGGAGGTGGAGGGTCTGTGCTTTTGTCCTACGGTGTTAACTGCCTCTCCGTTGACTATTCAATTGCAAAACCAAAGGTAAAGCCCCACTGATGTTATTTCTTTGGTCTGTCTGAGTGGATCTTCCCACCTTTTTTAACTACTTTATTGTTGTTCAGACCCACTTTGTTTTGTCAGAGTTAATTTCATCTTCATTGGGTGAAGATAAAGGGAAAAAGTCATGAAACAGATGATGTTTAAAATGTTTTAAAACAATTCTACCTGATTGTTAAAATGACTTTTTAAAGTAACCTAATGTAGTTGATTGAATCAGCCATATTAAGTAGTATTTTTGACTTGAATAAAAAAGGTAATTTTTTTGTGTTACAACTCGAAGTTTTTGGTCAGTCTGCTGAATGAGTAAACTGTGTCTTTCAGGTTTCAGAAGGATCTGCAGATATTAGCTGTGTCACCTCACCTAATCTCTTCCTGAAGTTCACAAAGCAAAAACAAAGAAAAACTCTACACAAGCTGGTTAAAAGTGACAGGATGTAGAATGGAATCAATTTAGGTTTCACTTTTTACAATGTATGCTTTTTAGGACTTGCCTAACTTAATATCTAAATATCTGACCACTTCATTGCCTTAATATACTGATAATTCAAATCTCCGGTTTAATTCCTAATGTCTAAACTGACTGAAGTCTGTGTTTCTCTTCTTGGTCATTATTACACTAATTTATCTCAGTCAAGACAACCACCAAATCCACATCAGTTCGACATGAACCTCCTGCTCTTTGACTGACCTTTAAAAACTGTCTAATTACTGAGGAAACCTAAAGCCATTTAAAGCCATTTCACTGATCAAAGGTCAGTTCATTTTAGTGTATCATTATTGGAAGTAAGAATAGCTGTTAATAAAATTGTTAGGACTTGTAATTGTAACATGTGAGGATCTAGATTACTATGTAAAATGGTAATTTTATCTTTTAATAAAAACACTGCAACCACAGAAAGGTTTTGTCTTTCTCTTGACATTAACAAATACCACGTAGTAGTAGTAGTAGTACCATGGCTTTCTAGAAAATGTACCACTGTTGTACCATTATTGGTACCTTGGAGTACATTGTTAATACTGTGGTGAATGAATATAGCAGTCTATGCATAACATTTGATTTCATTATCATTATTAAAACATGGTATAACCACAATTAAAGTAGATTCGTTTCGTCGTTCCTAATATGCAAATTGAAAATCTTGTACTTTTAGCTCTTTTTTGTCACAAAACAGAACAATCCCTCCCTATTTGAAGAGGGTAAAATATCTTTGCTGAGTCTGAGGTACCGTTTCAAATCCCCTCAAATGGCGCGTTTTCATCAAATACGCAAATAATTGCTATCAGTGTTATTCATTTGACATGTACAGTCGACTCGAGTGTACTTAAACCTATACTTCACTGCTCTTTTAATTACTTTTATCCGTTTTTCACTGGCCTTTGCTTACCTCAAGACCACCTTCGAAAATGGGGGAGGGAGCGCGCGAGACGAGTCGAAGCGTTGTGCGCATGCGCAGAAGATGAGCGGCTGAGGAGAAAAAGTTTCGCGCAGCTCCAGCTGCAGTAAAGCAGCAGCACAGTCTGCAGGGAACAGATTCAGCTCTGCAGTTTCCCAGCAAAATCAGGATTACTGCACCCCGGCTGAAGAAAGAATCTAGAAACATGCTGTTACAGCTCGCAGCCCTTTTAAGTAAGTTTCATTTTAGTTTTACTGGGGCAAAGTCACATTTATGTAGAGTTTTGACCTATATAAAGCATAGTTTCTCAAACTTTAAGCAAAAATGAAATTATAATTTATGTAATTTTATAAATTTTATGTATTTTACACCATTGCCTGTTCACTTGTGAATTATATGCTGTTTTACTGCACATAAATTAGCTTTTTTACGTTTAAGGTTTAATAAATATACTTAATTAGGTTCATCTTAATAATATATATTAATATAAGTATATATATATGTGTGTGTGTGTGTGTGTGTGTGTGTGTATATTATATAGAAAACAAAAACTTTTATTTTGGATGTGATTAATCGCGATTAATCGTTTGACAGCACTAATGTGTGTATGTGTATATATATATATATATATATATATATATATATAAGCAAGCATGTCAGCCTCTTTTTAGCTTTTCTTAAACTGAAATTTAAAGGACCCTAAAATGCAAGCAAACAAAGTCTATATGGTATTACATTTCACTACTACCAGATGCATATAAAAGTTTTTCTTCCACAAAGTTTTAGGGGCATGGGGTCTCGCAGATGTGCCTGAGCTGGGAGATGTTTGCACAGAGGGGAGCTGTTATCCTGCCACAGGAGATCTTCTCATTGGAAGAGCACACCAACTCTCAGCCACCTCCACATGCGGACACCAGAAACCTGAGCTTTTTTGTATCGTCAGTCATTTGCAGGTAACCTATGTGCTGCAAACCGTTATCCTTCATTGTTGATTAAATATAGCTGTTTTGGCATTAAAAGTTTAGCAATTAAGTTTGAATTAAAATTACATTGTGCTATCATCATTACGTAGTGGTATAAATTTGTTTTATTTTTCAAGTTGCAAAAAGTTGCAAAGACAAGCATTAATTTTATGGTCACGCCATGACATCAATTGGTATATGTTCATCCGGAATGAAAATTGCACCCCCTTAGGCTCTATACTCGGCCTGATAATTGTATTTTAATGCCACAATTGAGAATTTATGTGTTTTATTTCCACTTGTGGGATTTCTTCCAACACCTTTTGGGGCTTTTATCTGTAACATCTTCAGAAAGAGATTTATTGCTGTCCTGTTATTTCATGTGGGTGTTTTTGGAACATGTTTGTCTTTAGAGATTTATTTTCTTCGACTCTTGAATGTCTAGACTACTTCCTTCTAGACAAAACGTCTTAAAATATTTTACGTAGGGCCATTGAACATCATATGTGGGTCTACTGAATCTTCAAAAATGCAATCTGCAGGTTTATAGGGGTTTGTTGATGCTATGGCTGAGTGATAATCGCTCATGCCACACCATAATAGAGAGATAATTACTTCCAAGTTTTGACTCGAGACATATTGGATCAGTTCTTTTGATCAGTTTATCTTCATCTCTTTTCAAGTTTAATCATTTAGGTGGTGTTATCAAAGAAAAATCTTTGCAGTGCAACATATTGAATTGGAGCTGAGGTCAAATGGCTATGAGATGGAGGTGGACAGGAACTTATTGTAACGCACTAGTCACATTACAAAACCCTCAAGTGAGTCAAATTGCTCTAATAGGTATTTAATTAAGAGAAAATGTCACGAAGCAGCTCTGAACATCTGGCCTGCACATGAAACCAATGTGGGCCTTCAGACTTTGAAAAAGCTGTGTCATGTAAGCCAGACGAAGTGGGTTGACTTGCTTCAGTATCTCAGAGACCCTTACAGTCATTCATTTCATTTGGAGAAGTTCTTGCGTCACAAGAATGCCATTGACATTATCTGGTTTTTCCACCCCCTCCATCACAGGAAGAGAAGAAGTGCTTTGTGTGCGATTCCAGGGGAACCTACGATGAAAGCACGCACCAAGTAACCAGCCACAGAATCGAAAATGTCGTGACTACGTTCGCCCCGAACCGCCTCAAGACTTGGTGGCAGTCAGAAAATGGTAAGTTGTGTTGTGACTCCAAACCAAACAATTGCTCATCTTCCTTTCTTTTCAATACTATTCAGTACTATTTTAGGTGTTTGCTCAGTTTTGGATGTGAAAGACCGTGCAGTTCTCACGGGAATGTAGGAAGGCTGTGAAACAAGGTCTTATTAGAGGGAACTCTCCCTCATTAGTGTGTCCGTTAGTTCCCCTATAATCAGACCAATGGAGGGACTAACTACTTCAAAGCAGTTGTGTAATTGCTGACCAGTTAAGGTGATGACCAGTCTTTAAAGTGTGGAATGACATCTTTTTTTCCCTTGGGAAAGAGTTTTCTACCTGCCAATTGAAGATTGTGTCATTTATCCCATGCTGTTTCAATCCAATAAATTAAATTATGGACCTTTTTCACATTTCCGGGTTTCTCAGAAGCGGAAGCCGTCATAGTTGGCGTAACTTGAATAGCAGTGAATGGGAGAGTACCACACATATATTTTTTGCATTTCTATTTGCTCAAATAGCAAAAGAAAAACTCCACGATAGTGTTTTCGTGACTTTCAATAAAAGGAAAAAAATAATACGGTAGTCAGAAGAGAGAACGATGTCAAATTTACCGTCCCTCCCATAGACGCTGCATTAGAAACACTATTTCATATTAAAGTTAGCGTTAGCGTTAACTGTTTTTTTATAATTTGATGCAAAGGTGATATAATACAAAGATTAGTGTTATAAATGTACATACATTTAAAAAAAAAACAAATATGAAAAACTTTCGAGGATTTACAATGCTGATGACCGTTAAACGCGTTTCTTGTGAAAAGGGTCCATTATTTTGTCAAATTTATGCTTATAATCTAATAACACTTCTATATATATATATATATATATATATATATATATATATAAAAACAATACAATTTAAATGTTATTCTTTTTCTTAGAAAAAAAATATTCACTGCTTATTAATGTTTGAAAAAAGTCTGCTAAATCAAAGTCATGTGACTCAATCAATATGCAGAAAAAACCCATAAAACAGAAAATATCAGGACCTCAGCAGAAGTCAGTATGTCTCTTAAAATATCAAATAGTTTAATCTTTTCATGACAAGGTTAGTTCAGGTTGAAAAATGTCATGTGGTGCTCTGAAAATCTGAAGATATTTATAAATTATTAATTCATTATAATTGTGAAAAACACTTTTTACCTTTTTAAATATATTTTAAAACATCAAAATGATGAATAAGGCACAAATGGCAAATAAGATACTCTCAGACACTTATTAATGTACTCCATTGTTTTTACTTGATTTTAAAAACTTTAATTCTATTCCTCACATCGTGTTAGTTTTTTAGGAAGACTGTAAGACATACTTTACCTCGGAAAACTCACATTACCCTACAACCACCCACTCGGTTGAGTTGCGAAACATCTTCAGCCAACATGGAGAAGGTCCAGCTGTTGCAAGCGATTGGAATGTACAGTTCTACAAGCCATATGTTCCTCGATGAGACAAACAGACAGAGGAAATAGAAATCCAGAGATTTACTGGTTATTGCAGTGGAGGAGTGTGAAATGTAGTGGGACAGGAAACGAGGGGCCATGAATGCAACCAGAGAAGCCTGTGAATGTATGGTTTAGGAGAGAGTATGGGGTAGGAGGACAAAGAAGATACAGCAGCCAACTGGGCCAAAAGCCTGGGAATACCAGGGGTGACCTCCTACTTAATTAAAGATATGACTCTGTTTATTCTTATTTTTGATGTTTATGGACCCCCAAAGCACTTTCCCACTAAAAAAGCAGATGTTTAGTGTAACTATAGAGCAGTAGAGGTCTGCAGTACTATTAGGGCAAATGTGCATATACAGTCTCATTAGTTAATGAAAATTCTGTCATTAATTACTCACCCTAATGTCGTTCCAAACCCGTAAGACATTCGTTCATCTTGGAAACACAAATTAAGTTATTTTTGATGAAATCCGAAAGCTTTCTGACCCTCCGTAGACAACAGCGCAACTGACACATTCAAGGCCCAGAAAGGTAGTAAAGACATCGTTAAAATAGTCAATGTGACATCAGTGGTTCAACCGTAACTTTATGAAGCTACGCAAATTCCTTTTGTTCGCAAAGAAAACAAAAATAACGACTTTTTTCAACAATTTATTCTCTTCTTTCTGTCTTCATTGCGCGTTCACGACAGTACCATAATGCGTAAAAAACAACTGTTCATTGTTATTTCTTGTTAGCTCAGGTCCATAAAATAATATTAACAAATGCAACCTTTGACTTTAACAATGTATTAATAAATGTTAACATTAACATTGACTAAAGCCCTATTCGCACTGGATTAGTATTATCTGGGGACCTTGTGTGATTTTGAAATAACCCCCCCCCCACATCTTAATTTCGTGTGGAGAATTTGCACGGGATAAGCGAAGCCTGTGATTTTACTCGAATTTACTGACTTGTCTCCCGGATACCCGGATGTCAAGGCTTTGAGAGTCCCGTTCTATGGTCCAGATGGATTTAAAAAAAAGAAACTAATATAGTTTCGTGCGCTGTGTCATTTACATTTCACCAGGTTAGAATAATATCTCAAGCTTTATGCTTGATTTATTTGTAACACATTAACCTCAAAACCTTTTCAGCTTTCTCTTTCTGCAAATTGTATGGTGTAGCGATATGATGAAAGCACCCAAAATACTATCAAACACTCCAACGCAGCTCCATTCTTCGCAGAAGATGGATAAAAAGGCGCACAGCAAACAAAAACCTCGAAAAATGATATGCGATCCGCCAAATGCTGGCCGAATCACAGATGCCGATTCGCACGGGACTAATATTATCACAGGACCTCGGTGTTCGGCGAAATATGGTAGGTCATTTGTGGGGGAATTTTTACTTTACAAATTACAGACATGGCCGATTCGCACAGGATTAAGATCACAGACAACCTCCACAATTATTACAAATGACTGGAGGTCACCAGGTAATACTAATCCCGTGCGAATAGGTCTTAAGATTAATAAACACTTTAACAGTATTTTCATTGTTAGTTCATGTTAACATGTGCAGCTAACTAAGTTTAACAAATGAAACCTTATTGTAAAGCAGTACCAAAACATCATACCAAAGATCTTTTTAATCTCAATTGTTTCTTCTAGCCAGCAATTAGATTAAATAGAGAACAAATAGAGACTTTCATTTCATTTAGAAACTTTAAAGGATTTGCTTTAAACTACTATTTAGTAAAACACTTTTTTTTTAGAAAATAATAATTAATATATTAACATACATTCAAGGTAGGGTTCATGACAAATAATGATAGAGAATAAAATGAGAATTGTCATTATTATCACCCTCGTTTGTAAAACAATAGAGTATATTAAAAATATATATTTTCTATATATTTTGTTGTTTTATGCATAGAATGAAAGTGAATGGGGTCCAGTTTTAAGGTTTTAGATTGCAAAACAGTGATGCCATAGAAGATGGCTTTTCAGTCAACAGTTCTTAAAAGAACCCCTTTTGTGTGTGAAGAACATTTAAAAAATTGAAATAGCTTTTGTATACTAGTGGAATGGAAAGGTTCTCTTGATGTTAAAAGATCTTCATGAAACCACAGATGCCGGTAAAGAGCCTAAAGAACATAATAAAGAACAGTTTGGGAGTTAACAAATGGAACAGCATTAATAAATGTGGAGAAATACAACTCTTTGTCTTAACTCATGTCTTTATCGCTCTCTTTCTCAGGCCTTGAGAACGTCACAATCCAGTTGAACCTGGAGGCAGAGTTCCACTTCACCCACCTCATCATGACCTTTAGAGTAAGTGCTGAGGACAGTCAGTTGGTGATGTGTGTTTTGGGGGGAAGGTGTCGCCACAGTCCCAGGCTGAGTACATGCATGTGTGTGTATTTATATATACATAATAAATATACACAGTACACACACATATATTATGTAAACAATTGTTTTTATTTTTGATGCGATTAATCGCGATTATTCCTTTGACAGCACTAGTTATAATATAAAATAAAATAACATTATTTTTGATCCAATACCAAATACTATCCAAGCCAGTAATGTCAATATTGATAGCAGTCCTTAAATTGAATGGAAATTTTCATAATTTTTAACAGTACAGTGTCTAGCCTTTTAACATTGTGCCTTAAAAAACATATTAAATTATGAAACTAGTGATGTAGTTTCAAAATAAAATTATATATATATATATGTAAAATTTTATTATGAAAATACTTAACTAGTTTCATAATTTCTCACAATCTGCTGTTTATTTGTTGTTGGATTTAACTAAAAATTAAATTAATGGAAACTATATAGACATTTAAAAAACTGCTAAAAATGACAAGAACATAAACAAATTATGTAAGGAAGGGTCAATTCTGATGATGCAGGATTATCATCCATATTGGAAGTATCGTTCTCAAGTTGACCGTGACCTCTTATGCTCCCTATCTAGACATTCAGACCTGCTGCTATGGTGATCGAACGGTCGTCAGACTTCGGGAAGACTTGGCAAGTGTACCGTTACCTCGCCTATGACTGCGAGACCTCCTTCCCCTTCGTCTCTCAAGGACCCATGACCAAAGTGGACGATGTTATCTGCGATTCCCGCTACTCCGACATTGAACCCTCAACTGAGGGTGAGGTGAGCTCTGGAAATGCACTGCACTTCTGGTAAATACTTGCTCATATACTGGATTTTCCATTTACTCTTGTTCCTTTGGCTTCTGAAGGCCATCTTTAGGGTTTTGGATCCAGCCTTCAGGATTGATGATCCCTACAGCCCCAGAATTCAAAGTAAGGCCACAAATGAAAACATTTTAACATATATGCTTGTCATTAAGTGGCCTGATAGTGTGAACCAAATTTCTTCTTGCTTCCTTTCATTTATAGACATGTTAAAGATCACTAATCTGAGGGTGAAGTTCACGAAGCTGCATACTCTCGGGGACAATCTTCTGGACTCACGTATAGAGATCAAGGAGAAGTACTACTATGCGATTTATGACATGGTGGTGAGAGGAAACTGTTTTTGCTATGGTCACGCATCCGAATGCGCACCCATCGATGGAGCTGTAGAGGTCATGGACGGCATGGTGAGTGTTATGCCATGCATAATGCAAGCTATTGATAACTTTGATTTTTTTATATATTTTTTTTATTTTTAACATTTATATTTTATTATTTTTACATATATTTTTTACAATTATTTTTTTGTACAATTATAGTATTTATTATTATAGTTATTTTTTATTTTTATTATATTTTATAATTTTTCCAAATTTTTCCCTCCAATCACCACCACAAACTGACTTAGCAATCACGTATGAGCTGAAATTATGAAATTTTAATGCAGCATCATACCAGAATGAATTGTAGATTAAATAAAGCAAATTTAATAGGAAGTCGTTTTTGATTTATGCCACATTTAAATGCAGCAGACCTTTTTGTGGCTTTTTAAACCTCAGCTTTGAAGAAAACATCTCACAAACATTTGTCATGGAAGAAATCGTTTGAAGTCCCATCACAGTCTGCTGCTAATTCAGCTTGGATCTGTTTCACATTAGTACGAAAGTATGCGGACCGCCTCGTGGTTTCATTATTGAATAGTGTTCAGTGCAAATAACCATGTGGCAGAGAAAATGCATGCAGTGTTTGTTGTTTACAAACTTTTTTTGGTTTTGTTTCATTTATGCTTGAAGTTGTAGTATGTGTTTCTGTGGTTTTATATCAATGATTTGAAAAGCCAAAGGCGAAATACACCAAAGGAACGAGGTTCCTGCTTAGTCTGCAGTCTTCTCTGTTTACAATCCATATGCACTGAGATGTGTCTCAGTCTGTTGCAGTTCTTACAAAAGAAATTAACAGATATTACATCCAGATCTCAATCTTACTACCTTTTTATGTGCAAGAATTGTATTCAAAGGCACTGAAGTGACTCTAGATCATCTCCAGGCTCAGAGCAGTTCTGTGAAAGCTCACATATAGACTGCATCTAGATCTGTGTCTGTGCCAGGACTGGAGCTTGTTTAATGTAGACCAGATGCATCCAGTATAAACATTTCCTGTTGCCATCTGGTTTAGGGCCGGATTTGTAGACTGTCCTGAGCAAACTTTTCCCTTTTAGGGTCTGAGTAGGAAATGAGCTCAAATTCATTTTGAGGACTTGCTTGTTTATAATTTGTGGTGCCTTTAAATATCCTGTTCCACACATAGTCTCAATTTGATTACATTTATTTTGTTCTTGGTTATCATTGTTATGTCTGTTTTGCCGTAGGTCCATGGCCATTGTATGTGTAATCATAACACCATGGGGCTGAACTGTGAGCGCTGTCAGGACTTTTACCATGACCTGCCCTGGAGACCCGCAGAGGGACGCAACACCAACGCCTGTAAAAGTATGATCTTCTGCAATGTTCAATTATGGGTCAATGAAATCATGCTGATTTTTTTGTCTGGATCTATTCATTTATTTAAAAATAACTTTTTATGACAAAGTTAATTCTGGTTATAAAATGTCTTGTTGTACAACCCAAAAATGTAGTGATATTTATGTCAAAATGTAATGAAAATGCACTATTACATTTGACTTGATGGTTACATCACATGACTTTGAGTCATTAAATATATCTTTTTAATTATGCATAATGTTTATAAAAACCATATGAAACCAGTATATTTTCAAAAGATTTACTTTGCAAATCAGGTGTTACAAGTTTTGTAACATTCTTTTTGATGTACTTTTGATTCTGCTTTATAGTTTTGAAACATTGGTATTATAGTATTGTATCAATGTTATTGCATGAGAGTTTCTAAACAATGCTGACATTCTATTTTTTAGTACAATTGTTACAGTTTCTAATGAAGTTTTGATATCAATATTTTAACTTTGGTATGCTACTAACTCAGATACATTAAACTTTTTGTAACAGTACAAACATGTTTTGTAACTGTTGTTACTTCTTTAAAGAACATAGTCAAAAATTCTTTGTTGTACAATTGTTACTGCTTTATAGTTTTCAAAGTGGTAGTTCTTTGTCGTACAGATATTACAGCATTATAGTTTTTAAAAATCGTAATTCTCGTAAAACATCGTTATAGTCTTTAAACGTCATAATTCTTTGTTAAGCAATTGTTACTGCGTTATAGTTTTTAAACATCATAATTTTTTATCATGCAATTGTTACTGTGTTATAGTTTTTAAACGTCATAATTCTAATTAATATTAATCCAATAATTAACATGGAGTAACAATAAAAATACCATTTATTTATTTGATTAATGTACATTTCGATGTGTATTTTTAGCATTTCAAGTTGTATACATTTAATTAGTATTCATTAATAACTTATAAACAAGCATGAATTAACAAAAAATATACTTATTAACTAATTATTTTGTAGATATTAAAATTAACTTTTAAGTATTAAGTATAAATTAGCATTAATTCTGAACAAACATATCAATGTTAATCGATATATATATCAATGTTAATATATTAATATATTAACATCAATGTACAATGTAGATTAATAAATTCTGTAAAAATGTGTTCATTGTTTGTGAATGCATTAACTAATGTTAACAAACTAAATGTTATTGTTGTGTGTACAGTGTTTGTTGTGTGAACAATGCTAAACAATGGAAGTATCTTTCGTGAACTTTGTACTAGATAGTTTTAACAAAATTAGTTGCGAAAAACAGTATTGCGATAAAAAAGTTGACACAGAGCATATTTACTGCTGCATTGATACAGTATAAGAATTATCATGGATCCGTTTGTTAGTTTTCCCAGCTGTCCACAGTTCTGTCCATTGTCTTTAAGTACGCTGTCCGGATTGATCTTTTCCAGCCTGTAACTGTGATCCGGTCGGCTCTCTCGACGGTGGAGTGTGTGATCCGCTGACAGACGTGTCTCTCGGGCTGATCGCGGGTCAGTGTCGCTGCAAGCCTAATGTGGAGGGTGAGCGCTGTGACCAGTGCAAACAGGGCCATTACGGACTCAGCGACGACCCTCTGGGATGCCAGCGTAAGTCCATGCCTTACACAATATAGCCAACCCAAATCATTAATTAATTCATGTGAAAATGGTTTTGAAAGATCTCAAATAAAAGTTGCTTTTGTTTTGTTGTTACCCAGCATGCACATGCAATGCTTTGGGGACGGTTCCAGGTGGAAGTCCATGTGATACAGACTCAGGAAACTGCTACTGTAAACGTCTGGTTACCGGAAGGAACTGTGACCAGTGTCTGGTGCGTGTTCTGTTTACTTTATGAGTTCATTCATATATCTTTGTGCAATAGCACTGTGAATGATTTTAGAAACATAACATTGTGCTTTTATAATATGTAATGTGACACTTTTGTAAATTATTGTAAATCATACAACAGTTTTATTAAATGTGCATTAATAAATAAATATATATATATGTTAAATTTTAGGACTAGGTGGTACTATCCCATATTACTATTGCACCTGCCTGAGATAAGTGGGAAACAATGGAGAGCAGCTTGAGTGGTAGCACCAGGAGTCAAGGGGAGAGGGTATAGAGGGAAAGAGGTCTCACCTTCATTGGGGTCAGCAGGTGGGCACCCCCCTTCTTTGGTGTTTTTCGATGATATCAGCCCACTACACCTCCAGAGGGCTCATCGGCACCAACTGGGATCTTCTCCGAACCATTGGTTAAGGTTCACTGGTGAAGGCAGGACATCATAAGTGGCTTATAAAAGGAAGCTGATTTGGAATGCTTCCATGCTCCACAGCTCCTTCCAAGAGAGTTTAGGCCTCTCCACTCCTTCCCATCTCATCCACTGCCTTGCTTTACCTGTGAGATTGTTTTTGCACATCTCATTGCTTGCTCTTGCTGGCGCATCTCCTCAACCACCAATTTTCTACGCTGAAGTGGGGTTGCCTTGTGCCAGAGTGGTCTACTCTATCCAAGTCCAAAACCTCCTCTCCCTTGTTGTACATGACCAACAATGTCTCGATGCCTCAGAGCTGACTTAGCCTGTTGTACTGCTGCCCCTGGAGTCCACACACTTCCAGTTTTAAGGGTCGGAGCTACTTGAGCAACACATGGGTCTTGGGATTCCAGCAGCGTCATTTCCAGCCTTACTTTTGAGCACTTGTGCTCCTCTACCAGGCTGGACATTAGAAGCTCCTGGACACCTTTTCCGTACAGCCCTATGCTGCTTATACACCTAGGGAATATATATATATATATATATTCAGTATATATATTCTTTTACATTTTAACAATTATATTTATTTATTTTTCCAGATTTCTTGCATTCAGTATTCCAAAATGTGATCATTTGCCTTTAAGAACTACTGCTTACATTTTGCTTCTTGTGAGGTCTGTCGTAAACACTGTGGTGTTTAAATGGTCTTTTAACTAGTCTCTCTCTCATAGCCTCAGCACTGGGGTCTCAGTAACGACATGGATGGCTGCAGACCATGTGACTGTGATCATGGTGGTGCAATCAACAACAAGTGAGTATTACTACTCTGTTCTGGCTGAAGTTCCTGAATCTCTCATTCAAATACATTTTTATCACTATTATTACTACTATTTTTAGTATTTTATAATAATTTACTATTATTATTAGTTCAGGTTTTAGTAATTTTTCTATATGCTTTAGTCATTTTTATTAGTTTTTCTTTTTTTGTAATTAATATTTTTGTATAGCTTTTAATTTATTTTTATTTCGGTTTAAGTTTGAATCATTTTAGCACTTCAATTTTAACTAATTTATTTCAATTAGGTGCCAAGGCAACATTTGTATTTTTTCTGTTTTATTTAAGTTTTTCATCTTATATTCGTAGTAAAAACTTCTTATGCCATAATACTTCAAATGCATTAACATATTTACTGACATATTGCTTAAGACTTACTAATATAAAATTATTAGTGCTGTCAAACGATTAATCGCATCCAAAATAAACGTTTTTGTTTATAGAATATCTGTGTGTATATGAATATATAAATGTATATATTTTCCTTTGTATAGCTTTTAATTTATTTTTATTTCGGTTTAAGTTTGAATCATTTTAGCACTTCAATTTTAACTAATTTATTTCAATTAGGTGCCAAGGCAACATTTGTATTTTTTCTGTTTTATTTAAGTTTTTCATCTTATATTCGTAGTAAAAACTTCTTATGCCATAATACTTCAAATGCATTAACATATTTACTGACATATTGCTTAAGACTTACTAATATAAAATTATTAGTGCTGTCAAACGATTAATCGCATCCAAAATAAACGTTTTTGTTTATAGAATATCTGTGTGTATATGAATATATAAATTTATATATTTTCCAAATATATACTGTATGTGAGTGTATTTATAAATACATAATAAATATACACAGTACACATACACAGTAAACAAAAACTTTTATTTTGGATGCGATTAATAGTTATTAATTGTTTGACAGCACTAAAAATTAAATTGAAACTTTATTTGGTAGTATTTCTTTATTGCACAATGCACATTTACAAAATTAGTTGTTCCAATTTAAGTATACCAGTTTAGTATACCAAAAGTACAATTGCAGGGTATTTTATTAAGCACATAAATATGTAAATGTATTTGTAGTATACTTAGCACAAAATAAATGTAATTCAAATACATTTTAGTATATATATATTTTTTTTTTTATATTTAATTTTATTTCAGTTACCAAAAGATTTTGTTAACAATAATAACACCACCCTAAGTATTAAACTTGTGTGAACTTGAGTGTAACTCATCATGGACATCGAGGGACACTTTAACATATGCCGCTTTCTGAGAAGAGCTGTGCTATTACTTTCCTTTGTGATCAGACGTAGATTTTCGACAACAAAATGGATAAAAAAACTTAAATTTTCTTCAGAATTTGTAAAAATCTACTTGCTACTCCTACTGCCCTCTTTTCTTAGTAAGTTGAATCAATGTGTTGAGAAACTACTGGCAGGAAGCCTGAAATAACAGTGAAAATAGTCTGTATCATCCAATAAGAAAACTGTATTTACATGAGTTACAAAGGCAGGCTTTAACTGCAATCCAACAAACAGATGTGTGCCATTTTCTCACAGGTTCTGAGTCTTGACTGTTTGTGTCAGCATGAAATCTGTCATCCAGAGCTATTTTCCTCCAGATCTTTAGGAAGAACCATCTAAATTTCCTGACGTTATTTCTTTTCCCAGTTGCTCTCCAGAAACGGGTCAGTGTCAGTGTCGCGAGCACATGTTTGGCAGACGCTGCGACCAGGTGGAATCTGGTTTTTACTTCATCGCTCTGGACCACTACACTTATGAAGCTGAGGACGCCAAGTTTGGACCTGTAAGTGTCCTCATTATTGCCATCTGTCGAAGTCTTTGAGTATTTGAATGACGTATCTCTATCGGTAGGGTGTGACGGTTGTCCCGAGACCCCAGCCTCAGGACAGATCCCCTACTTGGACTGGCATTGGTTTTGTGAACGTTCCTGAAGGTGCCTATCTTGAGTTCAGCATCGACAACATCCCCTACTCTATGGAGTATGACATTATCATCCGATATGAGCCTCAGGTGACTTCCTCTACAGTATAATACTAGCATTGACATTTGACTAGAACAGTTTAGTAATGAGTAAAGACATGTTTGATCAGCCTTGAGTTAAAGGGTAAGCAGATACATCATTACATCATCTGCTTGCTCTTTCATGGTGTGTAGCTGCCAGAGCAGTGGGAGGAAGTGTTGATGACTGTCATCAGGCCTCGCGTCATTACCGCCGACAGCCGCTGTGCAAACACAATGCCCGACGATGACAACCAGGTGGTGTCTCTGCATCCCGGATCCAGGTATGAGATCAGAAAGATGGACCACCTGATGCACATTACCTTTCATCCAATAATAACTAGGCAGTATTTTAAGTCATCATGCTGTAGATGTAGTCCTTATGCAAAGACTAAAATAAACTAAAAAGATTAAAAACAATTGAAAGGAAGCTGAAATAAAATAAAACTTAAGTATTAGATGAAAAACTAAACAAACATTTGAAATGTTGATTAGGCTACTAAGTTGAAAATTTGAAATGCTGTTTTGGCAACTAACTGAACTAAGTTGAAGCACTAAGATTTCTAACTGTAAATAAATGAAAACTAAAACTTAACTGAAATAAAAACTGAAATAAAAATAAATTATCCCCAAAACAAGCAAATAAGTAAAAACAATAAAAGTACATAATTGAATTACTAAAAATGTAACTCAAATCAAAAATGTATCAAAACTACAATAGTGTATAAATAATGCTTTTTTATCACTATTTTTTTTAACAGTCTATAGGGTTCAGGATTTGACCAACCCAAGTCATTATTTATATACTACTGTAGTATTTTTTAAATATTTAGAATTATCTTTTACTTTTATATATTCAGTTTTCATTTAAATTTTAGTGTAGGTTTTGCTAATTTAGTTGTTTTGTCGTTTTTATTTCAATTCCGTTTTAGTAATCCAGTTTAAACATATTTATTTCAGTTAGTTTCCAAAGCAACATTTCTATAATATTTCAATACAAAAAAAGTCATACAAAATGACAAAAGTACATAACAAACTTACTAAAAATTGACCTCGCATTAAAAAGCTAATTCAAAATATTAATAGAAGCTACAATAGTATATAAATAATACTAAAACAACACTAGATGGTAGTGAACAACATTTTGCTCATTTTGACCAAGGAAGAGAACGTCATCCCAGAATGTACTGCAGTAAATCCAGAGAGGTGTTTATTATAGATATATTTATTGCATTCAAAGCTTAAAAGTAACAATAAACAGTAATTCAATCTAATAAAACCCCAAGATTTTTGTGCCTATTGCATTTTATTCTTATTAGAGTATCAAGCTCTTAACTGAGCAACGTGTCACTTCAGTTAGGATGCTGCCTAGTTAGGTTTTTAGTCAGATGCGCTCACATCAGCAAAATTTAGGTGAAAATTTGCAGCCAAGAAAAAGACCCTTTTCACCCTCATGCAAAATATTAGAATGCGCCAATTTCTATTGAAAGGACTTGATTCTGACCACAAAAATTTGCTGAACTGCAGAAAATGTGACTGTACCTTTAGACGGCCGTTCACTAGGTTTCATTAAGCTGATGTCTTTGAGTGTTAAATCTGAGAAAATTAATTCTCTTGGTTTTGCCCATCAGGTATGTGGTGCTGTCTAGGCCTGTGTGTTTTGAAGAAGGCTTGAACTACACCGTGCGCTTGAGTCTGTCTCGCTACTCGGCTCTCAGCGATGTGCAGTCGCCGTACACCCTCATCGACTCGGTAGGCTCCCTCTTTTACCCTGTCAGATAGACAATATCAGTTGCACTGGAATCTTCAAATGCTGAACGACCGATTTCTATTCTTGCTCTCAGATCGTCCTCATGCCACACTGCAAAAACCTGGATATTTTCTCTGGCTCTGGGTCAGAGGGTGGAGACATGGTGACCAACAGCGCCTGGGAAACCTTCCAGCGCTACCGCTGTTTGGAGAACAGCCAAGCAGTGATAAAAACCCCCATGACTGATATCTGCAGGAATTACATCTTCAGTGTGTCGGCTTTTCTGCACGAGGGAGTTAAAGGTACATCCATAACTTGATAATAAATTACCCACCTTAAATTGAACTAATAATATTTGTGATGATATGTGCTAAATCAGGGGTGCCCAAACTCGGTCCTGGAGGGCCGGTGTCCTGCAGAGTTTAGCTCCAACCCCAATTAGACACACCTGAACCAGCTAATCAAGCACTTATAGGCATACTAGAAACTTACCAGCAGGTGTGTTGAGGCAAGTTGGAGCTAAACTCTGCAGGACACTGGCCCTCCAGGACCGAATTTGGGCACCCCTGTGTTAAATGATGTTCTTAGTCTTTCCTTCCTATGACGGGGAAGCCCAGACAAATGCTACATGATTGTATGTTGCATTAAATTTCAGAAACAGTTTATTGTGCAATCAAAATACCCATATCAATCAAGCAAAAAATACAAAACAAAAAAACTTTATGCATAATGTGGGACTTTTAATTATAAACAAGTCTGAAATACACCAGGACTCTTATTTTGAAATGCACATACTTTACCATTACTGACTGCTCATTCAAAAAGTTGCAGATACAATTTTCATTCATTCCATGTTGGCAAAATGAGTCAGAATGCGTATGGGCGTATTTGATAGTTCACCCAAAAATTTAAATTTGATGTTTATCCGCTTACCCCCAGGGCATCCAAGATGTAGGTGACTTTGTTTCTTAAGTAGAACATAAACGAAGATTTTTAACTCAAACCGTTGCAGTCTGTCAGTCTTATAATGGAAGTGAATGGGAATCACGGCTTTGAGAATCATAAAACATACACAAACAAAACCAAATTAGCCCCTGCGGCTCGTGACGATACATTGATGTGTAAAGACACGAAACGATCGGTCTGTGCAAGAAACTGAACAGTATTTATATCATTTTTTACCTCTGATTTTCTGCAATGTCCGAACTGTCCTGAGCGCGTTCGTGTCTTCTTCTTCAGCCGGCGCGTGACGCGTCTTCTTCTTCTTTTTTTTCTTGCTTTATGGCGGATCGACTTATAAGTGCATTACCGCCACCTATCTCTCAAATGGACCATTTGAAATGGACCACCATAGGTGGTGGTAATACACTTATAAGTCTGCGATCCGCTGTAAAGCAAGAAGAAGAAGAAGAAGACGCGTCACACGCCGGCTGAAGAAGAAGACGCGAACGCGCTCAGGACAGTTTTTAAGCAATCTATTGGCATAAATGCACATAAATTTTTAGTTGCAGTAATGCCTACACTATACTTTTAAGAATTATTAGTTTTTTTTTTATTCTAGTTATAATATCACAAATGGCATACTAACTTGATCTTTATGATCTTACCACTTTGTTTAAAGTGCACACACATACAGATTCTCAGCCTGTCATCATGGCATGACTTTGGCTCCATTCTCTAACCACATAAGAATCCCCTTTCCCCTTTATGATAGACGTGCCAGTCTTCATTCTGTCATCGTTCATTCAGCTTTCATTTTCCTCTGTCTGATGTCTCTCATCAGAGGTGCTTTCCTGCCTCGTGTCAGAGCTTGTAACAAGGCCTCAGGCATAATTATACTGCTTTACATGCTTCCTGTCTGAGACTTTACAACTTCATCAACTGTCAGGACAAGAAGAAAAGCAAAAGACATGGCTAGAGGCGTAAATCAGAACACAAGCTTTGCTGACTATAAATATCAGTGTGAAAATGATGACTTTCACATGAAGAAATCAAACACAGCATAACACACTACTACTGAAAAGACATCTTCAAGTCATACTTTAAGAAACTGTAACTTGTCAAGCTTTATATGATACAGAATGTAAAAATACAGTCAAACTCCCTTCTGGGAAAAGTAAGCCACATTTCAAGGCTACACTTTAATAAGTAGCAAACAACTTTGAAGCTATGTGAGGAGGCAGTCTTTTAAAATATGTAACTTTTAAATATCTAACAATTATATCTGATGATACAATTTTAACAGAGCAGTATAATGGCACAAAATTAACAATAGTTTTTGAATCAAGTGTCTCAAGTATGGTAACACTATTAAACTTATTCTAACTAATAAAATTAGAAACACTAATTAAAATAAGTTCAAATCAAAGTGATGAACAGATGCTTTTGGCTTTTAAAAGACTAGTTTCATGATCCTTCTTCATCTTGGTAATCACAGTTATTAGAGTTTTAATTGTCCTTGATTTTATTTTTAGTGGGGAAAAAATGGTGTTACAGTTGATGAGATCAATTTATTCAGTCTGATTACCTGTCCATTTCAATAAATCATTTGTGTCATTATTTAAAAGTGTGGAATTCTTCATATTTAAATTTTTTTTTGTAAATAAATATTATAAATAAATGTTTTTGTTATGCATTGACGTTGTGCTGTAGAAATGAAAATAATTGAATATTCATCCATCAGTTAATTTAGTGAAAAACTAAATGTTTTTTTTGTTTTGTTTTTATAAAATTTAAATTTAGTTTTTATTTAAAACATTTAATCTGCAAAAATGTTTGTTTGGTCAAAAATTGTTTCTCTGATTTGTAAAAAAATAAGCTGTTTCAAAGCATAAAATATCATAAAGCATTACATATTTTAAATTTTAGCTATACAATCTGACATTTTAGGAAATTATATTTGTACCTCAATTTACTCAGCTGTAAAGCTCCATGCACAATATGATGTGGCATAAAAGTCAGCGACCTGCTACATTTAGGAAAGCATAGCTAGTAACTAAAGTAACACTATTTTGAAAAGGTTTGTGGTGTTGTTACTTTAGTTTCTCCTCAGCACTGCTTTAGCGATCCAGTAGGACTGATGTTTGCTTTAAAGAACAAGTAAAATTTCCTGGCTCTTCTGGCCTGCACCATATGTTTTTTGTGGGTCTTTCATGGTGAGATGACTTGCCAAGTCACTAAGCAAGCATTTTTACGCAGGTGGTTTGAACTCAGAGCCACTGAGGTGTCGAGTTGAACGCCGGTGAATTACCTCAGTGTGATTTATAAGCTGTGCACATCCACCAGAGAGGCTTTTTTGGGTTTGAGCCCATGCTAAACTGTATGCAAGCTCCAACCTGTTAATACTGATATTAAAATTTTGTTAGCCAATAGGTATTTTTACAGCCATTAACTAATATAATGGATGATATACATGAATGTATAAGAGATCAACCGATATTGTTTTTATAACCGATAAAACTTTAGTTTTTAACTACAGTTTGATATGAGGTTTTAGGTGTCTTTTATTTGGTTAAAAGAGTGTACTGGAATAGTTATACATTGTCAGGAAAGTAACAAACAAAACGGTAAATAAGATTACAGTAGAGTTAATTTTGAGTGGCATGTTGTCAGAATTATTATTTATATGTTTGTCGGCCTAGATTATGAAATACCTGCTGATCAACGCTCTCATTGTCATCCCGATTTTTTTTTAAACATGAATATTGTGTAATAATGTTATTTTGCATGAAGAATTTATTTGCGCTTACAAAAACTTGACACTCAAACAGCATTGTTCGTGGAGAGAGCAAATTAATTTCCACAGAGTATTTAGATAACTATTAATAGTGCAATAAATAGTAAACGTTAATGTAATAGCCGATATAGGGGTGGGCGATATGACCAAAATCTTATATCATGAAATGAGTAGTTTTATTTCACGGTAACAATATATATCACAATATAGTTATTTTTGCTTTAAATAAGGTCTTTATGATATAAAAACATTTTATACCATAGAAATGTCATAATTTTTGTCATTGGACTCAATATAAAAAAATAAAATAAAAAAAAAACTGAAGACAAGTAAACAGTCAGGGATTAAAAAAAGAATAAGAAACTAATTGCAAGCAATAGGACAAAAATACTGTAGAACAAATAAATAAGAAATGCTACATACATTGTATAAAGCAGAGGTCCCCAATCACCGGGTCGCGACCCACTACCGGGCCGTTGAAGAATTACTACCGGGTCGCAAGAACGTTCTGGGAAAAATGTGTATTGATATGACACTGTTATTTATTTATGTTAATGATTGTTCTAATTATTCTGTATTTTCTTTGTATGCGATTGATATGGATAGCAATTTGACAATTTCATGTTAAATAAGTAAATGAAAGATTGCTCTGATCTGTCACATATTAGGAGTTAAACGGATCGCAGTTGATCCGTAATACGTACGGATGAGACCCTACCGTTCGGCACGCACGTGATTCGCAGATTAATTTGCCAATTTACACGTACAAGCAATTTTAAACCACAAGAAGAGAAACGAAAGAGAGCTCAATTCGTTACTCACGCACTGTTCTCGCACACAATCAAAGCGCACTCAAGAGACGTGTTTCAGACAGCGCATTAGTTGCGTATACATACACATAAAATTAGCCTATGTCTATATATATATATATATATATATATATATATATATATCCCCCAAACGTAACCGGTTCGTGGTGTAAAAAAGTTTGGAGACCCCTGGTATAAAGCAATCAAATGTATAAAACACTACATATTCTTCACTGTATAAATTATATATTTTTTCTATTAAAGTTGCAAAAGTGATTTAGTCAAGAGCAGTGAGAGATTTTCTCTTTTGTTGTTTGATTAATATGAATGACAGACAGCATGAATATTAGACTGCTGTCACTTTAAGAGCTGGCCGGATCCAACATACTGTTACACATGTGTTTTCTTTCTCAGCTGTTTGCTTTCACTTAAGACCTAAATTACTGTGTTTACAAGGATACTTGCAAAGACGGGCATTTTGACATGTATTTATTCGTTCAGGGCCTATAAAGCGGCAAAAATAACTCAGTTCGATACTCCCTGCGTTCAATACACGTGCACGAGCCTCTCAGACAGCGCTCAGAAACAGTCTCTCAGATAGATCAAGCATACAGCAAAATTAGTTCTCTTTCGCTGCTGATTGCGTTTCAATGGCATAAAATCACTTGTAATGTTTAAAAACGAGTGCAAACGATTTTCGTGACCACGAAAACTTGGTTAACCGTGTCTGCTGGAATATCGCCCACCCATCTCTAGAATGTAGAGAAAAGAGGGATAGCTGTGTGAAAAACAATCGAATTTGGTAAAAAGCCCAACCAGTAAAAAAAACACTAATATTGGTCAAGTTTATTGTAGCACTTCATTGTAGCACTTTTGCCATTGAAATGACTGAGAAAAAATGCCCCAGTTACCTTGAATTAACCCTATATTTCTTTTTTTTCTCTTCTGTTTCTCTCAGCCTGTCAGTGTGACCCGCAGGGGTCTCTCAGCACGGTTTGTGAACCGAGCGGTGGCCAGTGCCAGTGTCGGCCCAACGTGGTTGGCAGGAACTGCGACAAATGCGCCCCAGCGACCTTCCTTTTTGGGCCACAAGGCTGCAGGCGTAAGTGCAACTTGTCAATAGCATAGACTGCACCATGTATTTCCTTCACAAGCATAATTGTGGTCTGTTGTTGGTTTAGCATGTGATTGCAGTCCTGAGGGGTCTGTCTACTCCTTCTGCCACGAGGCCAGCGGTCAGTGCGAGTGTATTCCCGGAGCGTATGGGCGGCAGTGCGACCGCTGTCTGCCAGGATACTGGGGATTCCCTAACTGTCGCCCCTGCACTTGCAATGGCCACGCTGAGCAGTGCGACCTGCTCACGGGACAGTGTCTGTCCTGCAGGGACCACACCACTGGACACCACTGCGAGAGGTTAGTCACTGTGTTCTTTCGTCAACATTATAAGTTGATGTTTACATGAAAGTATAGCCTTTCATTTATGAAATCTCTTTTGCAGGTGTTTGAATGGCTACTATGGTGACCCCGTCCTGGGCTCTGGAGACCACTGCCGCCCCTGCATGTGTCCGGACGGTCCTGGCAGCGGAAGACAGTTCTCCGGCGCGTGTTATAAGAGCCTCGACTCCAACCAGGTGTTCTGCGTCTGCAACCAGGGATATAAAGGTAACCAGCAGACATCTTATTTGATTTATAAGAGCATCTGTCAGGAACACCGTAAATTTCCTGTATCATGACATACGCTAGAACTTGTCATATAGTTTACTGTACCATTCAAACGTTTGGAAATTTTTATGATTTATGTTTTTGAAAGAAATCTCTTCTGCTCACCAGGGCTACATTTATTTGATCAAAAATACAGTAAAAACATTAATATTGTGAAATAATATTACAATTTTAAAGAACTGTTTTCTATTTGAATATATTTTAAATGTAATTTATTCCTGATGTGAACAAAGCTGAATTTTCAGCATCATTCTCCAGTCTTCATTTCACACGATTCTTCAGAAATCATTCTAATATGCTGATTTGATGCTCAAGAAACATTTCTGATTATTATCAATGTTGAAAACAGTTGTGCTGCTTCATATTTCTGTGTAAACTGATCAATTGTTTAGGGCCATTTATTTTGATGAATAAAAGCACAGTATTTATTTAAAATAGAAATCTTTTTTAACAAAATAAAGAAATGTCTTTACTGTCACTTTTGATCAATTTAATGTATCTATGTTTAATAAAAGTATTAATTCCTTAAAAATGTCTTACCCCAAACTTTTGAATAGTAGTGTATCATGGTTTCGACACACACATATTAAACAGAAAAAACAGTTTTCAAAACAGTTTGATAATATTAATAAATAATAGAAAAAAGTCTCACGGTTTCCAAAAAAAATAAATAAAATGAAGCAGCACAACCACTGATAATAATAAACATTGATAATAATATAATAATTGTTTCTTGAGGAGCAAATCAGCATATTAGAATGATTTCTGAAGGATCATGTGACACTGAAGACGAAAGTAATGATGCTGAAAATTCAGCTCTGATCACAGGAATAAATTAGTTAAAATATATTAAAATAGAAAACAGCTCTGATTTCTAAATTGTAGTAATATTTCACAATATTACTGTATTTTTACTGTATTACTGTACTTTTTGTATCAAATAAATGAAGCCTTGGTGAGTATAAGAGACTTCTTTCAAAAACATAGTGAACGATAGTGTATGTGGAAGAATATGGTGATATTTTGTCTTGTAATATGTAATTTTGTAGCTGTGAGAGCTGTAATTTAACACACCTCTTGTCTGGTGTCACCCATAGGTGCCAGGTGTGAAGAATGCGCCCCTGGTTATTACGGAAACCCACACGAGGTGGGCGGAGAATGTCGGTCCTGTCAGTGCAACAACAACATCGACATGATGGACCCAGAGTCCTGTGACGCCCGATCGGGCGCTTGTCTCAAATGCCTGTACCACACCGATGGCGAGGGCTGCAACCGCTGCAGGCTCGGTTATCACGGCAATGCACTGACCCAGAGCTGCAGAAGTAAGTTCTTGAAGACATGTTTCATTGTTTCAATGCTGTGTTTACAAAAATATGATCCAACATTTTTTATTATATATTTTTGACTTATAAAATCATTGGACAAAGTAGTTAGACAAGTATTATTGTCAATACAATGCCTGATTTATAAATCTATTTAAAACATAGTATGGACAATTGAAAAGATTAGTACTTTTGACGTCTAGATAAAGTTTTACTAGTATAGAAAAAAAACTATTTAAAAAATCATTTTAAAATGTACATTTTGTGCATCTAGTATAATTATGCATTTGACTCCTGGCCGCTGAGTTTCTAATGTTTTGTCCTGGTCTTTCTCAGAGTGTGTGTGTAATCATATGGGCTCTGTTGAGGAGACGTGCCCCTCTCCGGGTAACTGCAACTGTGACTTGAACAGCGGTCAGTGTCAGTGTCTTCCTAACGTGGTGGGCCAGAACTGCGATCAGTGCGCACCGGACACCTGGAATATGGCCAGCGGGAGAGGCTGCGAGGCCTGCGACTGCGACCTCAACCATTCCTTCAGCTCGTCGTGCAATGAGGTCAGACCACCTTCACACACATGTCATGTTTGGGATCGTAATAAAATGCACATGGATTAATCTGCATTTTTTTAATTCTCTGTGCTGTAGATTATGGGCCAGTGCTCTTGTAAACCCGGGTTTGGCGGCAGAACCTGCCGAGAGTGTAGAGAGCTGTTCTGGGGAAACCCTGAGGTCAAATGCCACGGTGAGTTCAGAAAAACTGAAAAAAATATCAGTGCAATAAATGACCCAATCAATTATGATAATAATAGGCAATGCATTTAACTTTAGTAATGTGATGTATTTCTAAGGGAACCAGAATATTCTTTAGGAAATAATTTATTACAGTGCGTTATTTTGTTTATTTTTAATATATTAAGACAAGTTAGTTGTGATATTTGTTTTAATATTAATATAAAAGGAGGCTTAAAACTGATCAAAAGCGACAGTAAAGACATTTTTAATGTTTCAAAAAATCCTGAAAAAAAAATATCATGATTTCCAAAAAAAAAAAAAATGTATATATATATATTAATCAGCACAACTGTTGATAATAATAAACATTGATAATAATAGCTTTTTGAGCACCAAATCAGCATATTATAATTATTTCTGAAGGATCATGTGACACTGAAGATGCTGAAAATTCAGCTTTGATCACAGGAATAAATTACATTTTAAAATATATTACAACAGAAAACAGTTATTTTAAATTGTAATAATATTTCACAGTACTACAGTTTTTACTGTATTTTTGATCAAATAAATGCAGCTTAGGAGAGCAGAGAGACTTCTTTTGAAAAAAATACCTCATTCAGACCCCAAACATATTTACTGTATATATATA